GGGGGGGGGGAAGGAAGGAATGTGATACTCCCGGAGAACTACACTTAATATTCCTACATGTTTTGAAATATTATCCAGCCCCCAAAAAATGTGTTTTGTCTTGCTAATGACTGTGTATCACCTATAGGGAAAAAAAAAAACAGCCTGGTTGTACGATGGCAAAAGCTCTAAGGCATAACTAAAGCTTTTATTATCAGTTCTTCAAATCCAGCACGCACCAGAGGGGAAGAACAGATACCTATGCTTTGAAAATGTAACATATCCCACAGTCATCCCACCTCTGCTTATTCAAGAGTGAAGCAGACATCCACAGCCTGTACCCTTTCCCACTCTGCTGATGGGGACACACGGGTGCTACAGAAGTCACGGGTTAGGTATTTTGGCCCTTCGTTTTCAGATTTGCTTAGGGGACCACACATCACCTTAGGGTTTTTTACACCACAGTGATGGATACCCTGTAAAAACCCACAGTAATATTTTCCTTGCTGAAGAAAGTTTTTCTTGATACATCTTGCTAAGGGATAAGAAAAGCAGGGAGAATCTTTTCAGCTGCGCCTGAAATTATTGACAGAATAAAACTGCACAAGGGACTGAGCTTCCCTTTCTCAGGGCCTGTTTACTTCCACTGTTTTGCTGGCTGAGTTGAACTTCCATCAGGCAACACTTTTTACAGTATTGCTGAAAGATGTTACTACTTCTACTCCCGTATCTGTTTTCCTTTGCCAAGACTCTCCTCCCAGAATAAGTGATTTGGACACTAGCTTAGAGTTCACACGGATCAGAATTTCTATGCAAGGAATGAAAGATAAAGGCAAAGACTGACAGAAATAAGGGTTGGTAAGAGCTGTGGCTTGATGATGTCCCCCAGGATTTTCATCACTGCTACCTGCTGAAGAAGAACTTTTGTCCCAAAAGTCTGATATATGGAGCTGTGCTACTCTTAAGGCTCTAACTCTGAAGCCTCCTCTCATAATTTTCAAATGGAGAAATAACAAAAAAAGCTTGGGTTTGGTTTTGCATAGAAGGAAGTGTGATCACATATGGTCTTTAGAACTGATGTGTTGTTCTTCCCATGTTCTGCATATTACAGGAAAAAAAAAATAAAGAAGAGACTTTTAGAACTTAGCAACGTTTTAGAACCCGACTAAAATACAGCAGTAAGAATGATGGTGGCATAGGAAAAATCCTTTAAAAGTTGCAGAAATGGGTACAGAGAAGGCTGTACATCAGGTTTTGCCCACTGTTTTTCAACCCAAAACTGTTTAACGACACTTTATCTGCATTAATTTCAGACAAATATATCCATCACTAAAAAAAAAACCACCTTATGCTATGCTGCCTCTACAATTGTCAGACGGAGCATGAGACTAGTCTGCATTATGCTAGGAAAGGCTTTGCTACTTCTGCTGGTTTAACACGTAAGGAGTTCAGATATGAATAGCACTAGAAAGCTTTAACTTCATTGTTAAAAGAAGGGCCGGTGTCACAATGTTTAGTGTCATTTCACATCAGATTTAAAAACTAGTTCAAGCCTGAGTCTGAGTCTCCCCTAAAAGCCATATGCTAGCCCCCAAAATATTAAGATTAGGCTATTAAGTGCTTTGTAGTTTGTTATCTTATTATGAATAACTAGTTTCTGTTAAGACTGGAAACACTCCTTCACCTTTATTTAGCATAGTATGTGCCAGAAGAAACTATTCCTTAGACCAACTGAAGCAGCGAGGAGTCCATATCCAACACCAGAGCATCTGGCAGCAAAACCTGGTGGGGTTACCTCAGACTGGATGATGTTTTCAATACCTTGGAGTATCCAGGGCATCTGCATGGGGTTGGGTATGACACAAGGACCACACAAGACCTCTGCAACTTGTGAATAATTAACCTAGAGCAGTGAATAATTAACCTAGGGATCCTAAAATGGGACAATGCTATGTTTGGGTGGGATTCTGGCACCCAAAGAATGAAGATGAGAATGAAGGACAAAATAATTGCTTAAGGTAAGAGGCTGCATGGCTACAATGAGAGGCTACGATTCAAAGACCATAATTTTTTTTTTTTTAAAAAAAGCAATTACGAAGCATCTAACACACGCAGAAATACGATTGCTAGTAAATTGTGCCTTGCACATTTACTAAACTTTATCTCAGTGGGTTTCAGGAGAACAGGTCAAGCCTCATGCTCAAACAACTGCTCCAAGGTAAGCCTACGTTAACTTTAGTCTTGCAACATAGAAACCAGTCTGCTTTTGCTTTCTGCACAGACAGTGGAGGGTGAGCCTAGATCCTCCAGAGTGAATTAGAGCAGAAGCACTCAACATCTCTCTGGAAGGTTGCTACAACCTTCAGTTACTTATTAATGTAGCTTCCCACTTAGCAACAACACTCAACATACAACAGCTGTTTTCATTAGCAGCAATTATACTCAGCACAAAACTGTGTTGATTATAATTAAGATTCCCACACAGCTCATCTGAATTACACATTTAAGTCAGTGGGAAACCAGGTACTGACCAAGCAAAGACCTGTTCTGCTAAGATGGTTACACCTTTCCACTCTCCTGGACTATCATAATACAGAAGGTGCATCTGCTACCAACTCCTAGATACAATCTCAACAGAATGATTACATCACCTCCCTCTAGTGAATAACATTGTTTTTCAACCAGTACACCTCTGAGAAGTGTTTGCAGGCCCATCATAGGAAAAAATATTAGAAGAGCAGAAGAAAATAGTAGAATATTGTGGACATATTTACATAGTCTGTATTTTGGGAAAGTCACGATCTTCACCAAGCATGCAAGCTGCTTGTTTGGGAAAAATCATCACTTTTTTTTTTTTCTGTAGCATCCACCTCTTTTTTTTTTTTTAATTACAAAAAATTACTTACCATCTAACCATTAGGCCAAGCTCCATGAAGTTTTTCAGGTTAGGAAGAGTTTGCCTTAGGTCTGGAGTACTCAGCCCATGTTGGTATCTAAGCTACAAAACCAGAAAAAAAAAAAAAATAGAGTTAGCACTGCTTTCCAAATCCCAGATTCCAATGAACATAACATTATGGTCAGTTAATTTAGTAGGTTTTCAAAGAAAGTGTAGGGTAATCAAGCAGTTCCAAGATATCTATTCCCCTTAAGGAAATGTTCCATTTAATACTCATAACCTCATATTAGTGAAACCCACCCAAGAACAGGGACAAAATAATCAGTCAATCCAACTGTTAAACCTCATTACACTTTTTCCATTTCCTATCTGTAACAGGAGAGCAGACCCACAGCTCAATAAAAATACAGCCATTCAGGGAAAACACCAAATTTCAACACAACGTTCTATATTCACAGATTCAAAACATTTATTTGCGTGCAAGTTGTCATCTATCACTCTGAGCGTATCAATGTATGCTGGAGTCACTAGTGGAATTACAGTAATATCGACTGCTAATGATACATACTGTCACAGAACTAACCTAAATCTGTGTTCCTTATGCAGTTTACATCAACATTTAAACTGTTATTATTCTCATCATTAAACAGAGTGTTCTAATCAAATGCCATGTAGCTAAGAGAAAGGCTTCAAACATTGACGTACTTTAACTCAAGTATTAACTCCTATGTGGGTGCAAACATAAATGAAAAGATTCAAGACACTGACTCCATGCAAACCACAACTTGCTTTTACTCTCAGATTACCAAATGAAGTACACATGACATAACTGTCACTGCTGGCAATTATAAACTACTTCTTAAATAAGTCCCCAAACTAAAAATACCTCTGAAGAAAATGGCACATGGAAAGGAGAAAGTCCTTCTTTTAAGTTTGAATCTCACAACTTCAGAGAAGCTTTGGAGGGAAATCTATCCCTCGTGTGGTTAAAATATATTAAAAAAAAAAATCCCTAAATTCCAATGTCTTTAAGACTATTGGAATGAAGCAGTATCAATTTAATATGCAGTTCTCAGCAGATGTTAACAGCTTCTAGAAATCGCAGCTGGCCTCCAATACACACAGACAGTAACAGCACAAATTTGATACTGATAGAGCTACTTGCTGAAACATGGAACAATCCCACTCAAAGTTAAATTTGTTTTTTTAGAATTACACACACTCCCGTAATTCATTAAAGGTGCAGGCAAGCATCCTCAAAGTTAGAAAGATTTCTGACTTCTCCCAAACAATGGGCCAAGCAGTTTTTAACAGCAAAAAACTCTTGAAAATGGGAATGATTTCGATGCTTGTTGAGTTTTAAAAAGAAAAATTGCTTTGGAAGAAAATCATCCTCAGTACTGCATTGTACAACAGAAGGCCATTTATTACAGAGTTTATTATTTCCATATGGACACAGCCAAGTCATATGGTGGGCTTGGATTCATATTTTCTGTTACAATGACAGAACCTGGATTAATACAACCATACAATATAAATTACTAAATGATCACCACATTCTCCTGATGGGATTACAGTGGATTTGGTTAGCCAAAGAACTAGCCTGGGGTAAAAGAAATAAATAAGAAGAAAAACAAAAATCAAAAACATTACATTTGTTCCTCCTACTACAATCAAACCTTCATAGAATACCCCTTTTTATAGTCATCCTTAAATTCTAAGGTTTCAGAGCATGAAAAGAATTGGATTAAGGGATCTCTCCATTCCCAACAGCCAAGATCACAGGAATGCAATGTTTCTGCTAAAACACATTTTCATATTGCAAATAGTAGAGATACATAGTTAGTAAACTCAGAACGTAAGTTTTGTGAAGCCTCTGGGGAAAAAAAAAAAAAAACAACTTTATAACCTGCATTCTCTTTTGGCTTTGTAATAGCTTAAAAATATAGCAATATTGCCTTATGTGTCTCTATCAAACAAACCTACATGTAAACCCACAAGCTGCCGAAAAACTCATCTGCCTTCTAGTGACAGGAAAAATTTAAAAAATTTTAGGAAAAATTAAAAAAAAAAATAAATCAGTTGAGGCATCAGAGCCATGAGTTACTTCCCAGGTTTTAGTCTGGTTCCAAAATTATCTCCCCATTACTGCAACAAGGTTAACTCCTACTTTGCAGTGGTCTGCAGGAGTTTCATAGCCCAAGAAAGAAATCTCTCTGCCTCTACTGAGTGACAGAACCCTCAACGTGTATCGTGCACTGCAAACGGGAGCATGGAGGGAGAAAAAAAAAAAAAAAATATTATTTTTTTACTTAAAGGAGCAAAACTCCTCCTCCTCATACTCCTGCTCTCTGTCAATGCTGCATCATTAGTAAAGATTGGGATATTTTTTTTCCCCAAACCGTAAAATATTTCTCATAGACCTTTCCTTAAGTTTAGGATTTTTTTAACAGCCAACACCACACATACAGGGATAGCTACCACACCTCATCCAATAAATAGTACGACATTGAACAACAATAAAAATCATCACCTGTGACCCGTTGCGGTACGATTCACACAAGTACCTTTTATCATCAAAAATCAGGTTTTTTTTAAAAGAGAATAATGTAGGGAGAAGACAGCTGCTTTGCTCACGAGAGTTAAAAGGATCTTAAAGATAAGAGTTTAGCATTACGGAAGATAATGCTGGAAGACAGTGCTGTCTTGAGTCTCTAAGAAACTGAGTTCACATTTCAATTGTTGCTATTAAACGTGACCCAAATCCATCTGCCCCACACCAAGTTTCCAAAGGAACCAGGTATCACTTGCAAAAGCAGCATTTTATTTAAAGATTAGATTGTTCCTTCAGGATATTACAGATTCGGCTTTCCAAAGAAAAAGTGCCTGTTTTAATTTGAGTGAACAAGCGTCCAAGATTCATGTTCACATTTATGACCGTGTATTCTCCACGGGGCTGTGAGTAAATCATTAATGATGTTCAAGTAATAAAATATTAATTGCCATTTCCTTACTAATATTTAGCTGCTATATACAGCTTTGTTTTCCCAAGTGCTGTGTGAAAAGTTACTTGACTGAACAAAAACACGTAGTAAACATGAAGGGGAAAACAAATAAGCTAAAACATCAGACACGAGTCTGAGTCTGCTCTCATACCAGTTATAAGCAACACTTGCTCCACAGAAACAAGATGTAGCAGATGAGATCCATCATATTTTATGAATAGTTCAATACCAAAGAACTTAAGAGTACTGATATATTTAAGGAAAAAAAAAAAATCTCACTTTGCAATTGATTTCATTTACAGACTCAAAGAGAAAAAATTTCAACATTTTACCGTCCTTTGTTACTTTGGCTTTTAAGTTAACTGACAGCATTCCAAGTTATTTAGTGATGTAAAGAAGTAGCTAGTCAAATGTAACTTTAAAAACTGGATATTTAGGTTTCTACAAGATTTTAGAAAACAACTCCAGATTCATCCAATTTGATTACTTTCTCAGAAAACCTGTATCCCCAAACTCCAACACTATAAAGCCAGTGTGATAAACTTAAGAATCTCAGCATTATGAGAAGAGTTTGACAAGGGGATAGGACTGCTTTTGTAAAGTCTGAGGGGTTTTGTTTATCCTAAGACAATTTCAGGAAGTACCTGTACGGAAGAATCTGAAGAACGAGGATATTAAATTTATATTAAGGCCAACTCTACCCCTGTACAAGACCACCCTATCATACTAGTGGGTATTTTATGTTATACTTGCTATTTATTCCAACATCACAGAAAACCATAAATGTTGAAATAAACTGCATTTAAAACAATGGTTCTCAGACCGAAAGGCAGATTTATTCTTAAAGCTTGTCTTCGTAAGAATTAAACACTTAATCTCCATCAAAGACTAAGAAAATTGATCTAGCCAACACAACCACAGTATTAGCTGTAGGTGAGGCATGACTAAGTTAATTCATAACAAGTCGGGTGTAATTGGTTCAGACTCTTTAGGAAAAAAAAAAAAATAAAATTCAGTTGCTCCAGTTTGTTTCTACCTGCATTTTCTTCTGTCTAAGGGTCTGAGTTTCTGCTGGAAGGAAGTTGCCAGTTCTCAGCAGTGAATCAGCTTCACCCTGAGCATCTCTAAACCACTCCTGCTTATCCAAGCATCTTCCAGGTAATTTATTTTGTCAACCAGACAATTATACTTAATTAAAATCATGTCAGCCATCATGAAAGGTTACCACCTTCCTCAAGGTAATAATTCCATGAAAAAACATTCGCTCACCAAATCATGACAAAGTGTAGCTATTTCACTTGTTAATATTAAAACACAAACCTGCAAAGGTTCAGTTCCTCTCTTACAAAGTTAGAGGTAAGAAGTACTGGAACTATTAAAATTTTTCAAATGTGTTGCCTTAAAAAGAAACCGTTTAGCTATCTATTTCTGGGTAGTATTAGATTGCACCCAAGATCAAAATTAGGGCTTTTGCCACTAAGGGACTGCCTCTTAAGAAAAACAACAATATCCTGCATTTACATGGAAAGAATAGCAGCCCATTTCTCATACTAATTCCTGTAACAGTATTTAATGACTAATGGTATACAAGCACATACATCTATATCCAGCCAGAAAACACCGAGTACCCCGACTGGAATATTTTTTTTTTGGGGGGGAAGCGCAGAATGATTCCAATTCTGAACTCATCTGTTCATCGTTTACCGTATTGTTTCCCCAGTCATATTCATCTTGTTCTAAGACATGTGGAAGCAGTCTTACAGTTCAGACTACGTTAATAAAGTTCAAAATACCAGCCACTTCAGTACACATTATGCATAACACTCGAGACTATACCAAAACCTCCACGAGTTTTGCACTTTCCTGTCTCTACTGCAGGCAACTGGTCTTTGATGTATCTATAGGAGAGGTGGACACTACTACACTCTGCAAGCTCATGTACTGTTAAAGCAGTCAAGAGCAATTTTGAATTATTTTCAGTTCAATGAGGAGTTTTTCTTGATAGCATCAAGCATTTAAAAGGACATCTGCTCCACAAATGTGAAAACCCACAAACAAAAATAGAAGCAAAAGTGTTCTTTCAATCGAATTCGCAGT